ATTAATTTATATACAAATCTAGGGCCTTTTTTTTAAATCATTATAAATAATCATAAATCATTTTTAAAGTGTTTTCCCAATAATACATAATAATTAAGCAATTTTTAACAGGAAACATCACCATTGAGCAAAAACAGACAATGTCAGCCAGATTAGTGGATTTGGCATGCAATTAAATCACAAATGAAATAAGATCATTGTTGTCTGAAATTATTCTGTCATCCTACACATCAATCAAAAGACCTTTCCCAGGAGGGGAAATTTGTAACTTCTGCAGTAACTACAGATGCTCAGGAATTATGGCCTTGAGAACAGCCACAACAACCAGACTTCCATTCTATGAAACCACTCTACAGTTAAGAACCAGAAAGGTTACCTCAAGACACTGTTCCACAAGTTGCCTGCTTCTTGCGAAATCACCACTTCTGTAGTATCCCACACCAAGCAGATAAATCTTCTCTCTCCTTTCAAGTGGACCGCTGCTTGTATTAGCAAGTGATGCTGCCAAAAAGCCAGGACACAATTTTCATTTCTACGTAGCAGTTCAATTTGGGAGAATGGGGGAAGGAGCTTTAATACTAAGAAATGAAATTTTCGTTTCAGTCCATCTTTACACTGTGTATGTTTGGATAACAATAGTGAAGGGAAACGGAGGGGAAGGGAAAGGGAGGTGAGTGAGGGGAGGGGGGAAGGAGAACATCCATTTTCCTTCCAAATCTCTCAACAATGGAGGAATTTAGTTTATTAAAAGAGAAGGAAAATGGATCCTTCCAATTCTCCACCCTTCCCTCCTTGAATTAGGTATCAAACAAAAGGATGATGCATCCTTCCCTCTTCCCTTCCCTCCTTTTCTCTCTATCCAAATATAATGTTAGACCCTAACTTGTGACACTAGTTACAGTACTTACAGACCAGAAAATAAGTCTCATAAAGTTATATGTTCAGAGGGGTTTGCTAATTTATTCACAAAAGAGAAAGATGTATGAAAACAACCAATGTACAAAAAATAAATCTGAGAGATACGTTAACGTTTGATAAACTGATACATGAAATAGCCTATAGTTCAGAGTACAGTCTAGATGCAAGAGCATATTACAAAAGTAAGGAAAACTTTTGTATACACCCGGTTTTCAGTAATTTACTGTACATCAGGTACACTTTTGTCAGATTTAGTGTCACTTTTGTCAAATTTAGTGTCACTTTTGTCAAATTTATCAATGAAGCATAAATAACTTTTATATATGTCAGGGTAACTTTTGTGCGTTTTAATGTAACTTTTGCACATTTTATTGTCACTTTATAACGGATGTTCAATAATTTACTGACATCCGTTTTATTTAAAAGATTGTCCAAAGGTAATGGCGGTTCCAGTAAATTAGGGTGGGTAAGGTAGAGCATAGATAAAAGCAATGCAACTTTAGGCATACTGTGAGAAAGCTAGCCTAAGAACTGCTACAAAATTACCAATGAAAAGATTTTAAATATAAGAATTATCAAACATTAAAAGCATGACATAAGAAGAACCATGCACAGTTGAAAAGGTGATCACATTTACCTTCAACCATAGCTATCCCTCGCTGCACATCCTCAGCACGCCTAGAATGGACAAGAGCCCATGATAGCCTCATCAGACATTCACTTCTCTGTTCATCACTGGAATTAGCAGCTTCAGCAACCTCTCGCTCAAGTCCCTGAAGTCATACAAATAATTATCAGCTATCATATCCAACTCTCCCTCTGCTGTTTGGGGAAGGAGGGATCAGTTCTAAGAAAAATGATATGCATTATATATATGAGAAATAGGATCAAGACACATGAAATGGGAAAAAAAGAGGATGAGAATCAGACAAAAAAGACGCACAAAAGGAAAGGAAAAGACAAATAAGGTTTAAAGAAACAGAACACCCACAAAATAACATAACCATGTATTGCTTCATTGTAATGCTAAAGATTCAATAATCCTACTCAAGATTACATATCACAACGCTCCATCAATATAGACATAATCACATAATCACATACAGCTGAACAAAACCTCCAATCTCAACCAAATCATTGGAGCACGAGCATAACTGGACAAACCAAACATCGATCCAATTTCATCATAGTTTTCCACATTATCACTGAAGCAGGCAGATGTTTCTTCCCAATCCGAAATCACACAACAATAACCGCAAACAGTCATTGACTAATCAAAATGGAATTGGACAGAAATGCTAACAATAATTTCATACAACAAACAATAGCTTAAAATTACTAAAAACAAATACAGGATATCCTAACAATCCCAAAATCAAGGCGTGGTAGCGAACATTTTCAAGATTTTCCACTTCCTGTCACAGAAATTTCATCTTAATTCCAGACATATATTAAGAAATCCTTCTGATATTGATAAGCTGTAATCACTATATGAAAGATATTGAAAAAATCAATCATGGCAAATACAAGCTCATCAAATCTCAACATTCAGATGAACAATTGCAATTTCCAAAAATCAACCATATCACATAAAAACAACAACGAAAAAAGCGAATTCTTCCAAATAATAATCAAAATTGTGTCGAATCATTAAATAAAGCAACAAAAATGGAAAAATTGCAAAACAGAATTACATAAATCAAAATCAAACAAAAAAAATTGAAACAAACAGAACCCTAAAGTAATCAAACCACAAATGAAAGAAAAGAAAGCTTACAGAAATAGTATCAGGATCACACCAAGGAATTTGATCGCCGCCACCGAAGAAATTTCCGACGGATTCAAAGAATTTTCCGATTTTCGCATCCATTTTTTTGCCCTAAAATTTGAAATTTGTTGCGTTTTGATGAGAGAGAAAGGGGAAAAATTGTAAAGGAGTGAATTAATACGTTGAAATGACAAAATAACAAAATGGCAAGGCTTTTATATTGGTTTTTTAATTTCGTTTTGATTTTAATTTAGTATGACGTATACGCTTTTGGGGTATTTGCTCGCTTTAAAGATGGTATAGTGGAAATAAAAGACGCGATTAAGTTATTGACTCATTTGTTTTTGTATTAATAAGTAATTGACTTTTGCCATTATACTGTAGTTTATACTTTATAGGCTCATGACCTTATTCTAATTAGAGGTTTCTATTGAATGGATCTTGTGAAAATAGTCTAAAACTAATTCAATTTGGGATTAATCTAACAGAATTGTTAGAAATATGAAAAGGCTTAAATTTGAAGCTCATCTATTTAAAACTTTAAGCACACTGATTTGACACGACCTTATTATGTTATTACTCAACTAGTAGGTTTCCATTCACGCACTAATTTGTTTCTCATTAGTTACTCATTTCATTTTTTATTTTTTATACTTCCTCCATTTCTATTTACTTCATTTGACTCATAGCTTTGGGCACGATATTTTAGGAGAAGAGAAGGAAATTGTAGTTTTGTGGCCCTTGTTGTACATGGCTTACCTTATTACCCTTAAAAGTTGTCCCCCATATGCATTTTATAAGGGTAATTTAGAGAATTTTCTAAGCTTACCAAATATAGTTGTAAACCATAAAAATTCAAACCTGCAATATATAATTAAAGAGGTAGAAAAATATACGAGAACAATTATTTCATTAATAATTTGTGAGGTTACAACTTTCGTAGATCTCTTGTTTATAGTATAGGGCCTTGTCGGCTTATTCCATACTATGAACCTACAATGTTTGGTAGTAAAGAGGAGATGGGGTCTTTGTGACTTGTTCCATCTGAGCCTCCTTAAGCCTAGAAACAATGATCTCTTTATATAGAGAGTCGTAGAGTAGCAAACAAGATAGCTATCTTAATATTCTACGAGATCTTGAAGATAAAATATTTTATATTTTTCGAAATTATCTCCTTATTTACATATATTTGACACCTAATAATTAACAAAATTTCGGTGTCAACAAATGCCCCCTCGAGACCTGTTGTGGAGATTTGACATCGGATGCAACTTAGTCTCGAAACTTTCTTGTAGAATTTGAAAGCAAATTTGGCGTGCCCCCATTAAATCCCACGGATTTTGAAACTTGGAGAGTGGAGATGAAGAGCGAAAATTGTCCCACCGAGCGTGCCAATTTGTAAACTATAAAAATTCAAACCTGCAATATATAATTAAAGAGGTAGAAAAATATACGGGAACAATTATTCCATTAATAATTTGTGGGGTTACAACTCTCGTAGATCTCTTGTTTATAGTTCAGGGCCTTGTCGGCTTATCTGACACCTAATAATTAACAAAATTTCGGTGTCAACAATAGTATGGGTCAAAATATGACATTTTCATTATAAGAATGTTAGTCAAGTAAATAGAAACAAAATAAGTATTAGGTCTATAAAACTTAAAAAGTATTACTCGTTTAGCAATTAGTAATAATAACACAAGTTTTTAAGTCTAACTTTCAAAGTAGCATACAAAAATGTGACATAACAACTAATTACTAATGTGTTTTTTTTTTTTTTTTTTTGAGGAACTAATTACTAATGTTAAGTCTTTCTTATTTTGGCCTAATTTGGTAATTAGTTGGTAGTATTAATTGATTTGACTAGCTCATTGAATTATAGGCGGTTAACACAATTGGTTCAATCTATCTTATTGAACTCAGAACTCTGATAATCATGCTGTTATGGTATCAGAAAATATCTACCGGACCATTTCAATACATAAATTGATACACAGGCATGATATAGTGATATCTGATATGTGTTATACCATTGCAGTACCTTTTAACAAGGATCATTCAATCATATTCTATTTCAAGTTGAACCACCTAGACTATTGTAGTAATGTCTTTTACTCTGTTAATCCATAAACAGAAGCTAGATCAATGAATAGGAATCAAGACTAGCATCAACATATGACGGAAACCATCTCATATTCTTACACCAATTCTCCCCAGGATGAATATGAGCCAACGAATGAGCAACACGAATGTGCAAGAAATGTATGATCTAGTATCTACCATTATGCAGAGCTTATCATCAAGATCCAATAAATTGACAAAGAAAAACACCAGTATCTGATCTTTTATTCTGAGAACTGTCAAAACGTCAACTTCAACATTCTACCTTAAACATTATAATCATTGATATTTGATACTAATATTCATATAATCTACTCTGTCTAATACAGGAAAGGCGTAAGCAGAAACTCTTTATTGGTGGTTATATGCATATAATGAAGTTGAAGGCATCATCAGTTGCATCACCAATTTCATTTCGAATCCCCAACTTTTCCCATCCTCAAATAAACAGGAAACTTCACAACCTTCTCGTTCTTCCCATCATTCATCCAAGCATGCTTAAATCGCTCCACCTGCTCATCCGGCAGCATCTCTACCCCTTTCTCCTTAGCAGCATTGTAAGCCGACCATGACCTTATGTATGCAAAATAGTCCTCCAAGCTCATCACCTTCTCGTTCTTGAACTCAAACGGACCAGTATCTGCCAACCCATCAACAGGCTCGAATGGGAAATGAATGCTCCGGTACTTGTCATCCACAGCCCTTGTCGTCTCCTCCCATCCAGGACCGGAAAATCCCTTGTAGAACGGCCAGAAGACTGCATCCACCTCCTCATTCACCAAAGGTGTAGTGTAGCACCAGGCTGCAATGATCCCATTAGGCTTCTTTAGAGCCCATCTCACCACCTCATAGAACTTGGTGAGATCGAACCAGTGCATTGCTTGGGCTACGGTTATCAAGTCAATGCTGGATTCGGGTGCTATCATTTGCTCAACATCAGTTACGGATAGAACCTGAGGCGTCTGAATGTACTTGACATTAAGCAGTTTTGGCGCACACTCTAGCTGTGTCGCGCTAATATCTGTTCCCACCACATTCTTATAGAGTTCAGCTAGCTGTAAATCAACAAATGTAAAAAATATGTTATAGAACTTTTATTTTGTTAAACTTGAGAAAACATGTTTAATATGATATAATGATACAATTCTTGGTTTGTACTTTGAAACATAACTTTTGAAGAGAAATTACAAAAATTGGTTAGTAAAATGTGGTGATCGTTGGAGTCTAATTTAGAAATTCTTGGGGGCAATTCAATATCACAAATTAATTACAGAAATTAACGACAAGATCGATTGAACAAATCTAAACTTGTTAGAAACTAATCCCAAAATCAATCTGATTAAAAGTATGGATCTCACTTAATACCCAAAGATATAAGATCAAAACTCGTCTAGAGAAATTAATGTCCCAAATTACTCTACAATCACATTAATTACAGAAAATAATCACAAAATCAAGAGAATAAATATAAGCTTGGTTAAAAGTAGTCCCAAAGCCAATCCACAATAAACAATAAATAAATGATCAAAAGTGTGGATCCCAATAACTTTGCTAGTTAATAACAAAAATACCAAGACATAAGATCAAATCCCGTCTATAAAATAAAATACGAGAAAGGAAAGGGAAAGAACGTACGGAAGAAATGGCCTGGCCAGTGCCAGTACCGACATCCCAAGCAAGAAGATGGGAAGGAGTGTGGGATGCGATGAAATGAAAGAGTTGAGGTGGGTAAGAAGGTCTACCACCTGAATATAGCTTTGCATTGTAGGTTGGCTTTGCCAATTCTCCACTCCCTGCCATTTATTTCTTCTATTCTTTCTTCTCTTTCTCTATCTTCTAATTTTATTCAATTTTGGTTTAACGTTGTTTGATAGTAAATTAAAGTACGAAGTGCTCATTATATATTATGATATTTGTCATCATGCCTGATGCCCGTGATGAGCCGCCGCCTACTTTTACCAAATTTTGTGGCTCCCCTTCAATTTTTGTGTTTAAAGTTGTAAATTGTAGTTTTTGGAATTTTGGGTGTAGTAACAGTGTTTCGTTTTTTCTTTTTAGTAACGTATAAAATACAAATTTTATCAATTAACTTTGACCATCATTTTTTTTTTTAGTGTATAAAAAATAAATTTTATTAATTTAAATCATGTTTGGTAAATGACTTTTTTTGATAGCTTTTTGACTTTTGATTTTTTTTACGTGATTAAACCGCCAAAAAAAAAGTTTTTTTGTTAGCCTTTGACTTTTGGTTTTTTATATTACGTGAACAAACCGCCAAAAAAAGTTTTTGACAAATGACTTTTCATTCAGCGAAAAAACAGGCTTTTAAACAAAAATGAAAAAGTTGCTTTGAATAACTTTCTTTGTTGGCCCACAAATTATCAAATAAATAGCCAACAGCCACTGACTAAATTTACAAATACTTTTATAAAAAATAATTTTAAAAGCCATTTTTGCCAAACATTCTAGCTGGTCAAACAAGTCAAGTGAACCAGCCAACAGCCATATTCTAAACAAGGTCTTAATAATGAAATATATTGTTAAAAAAATATTAAAATAAAGTTTTATGATATCAACATTTTACTACCATATATTACATATTATTTACTAACATATAATTTTATAAATCTAAAGTCAAACTTGTGCATTGACATATGTGCCACTTTGATTGTGTCAATTATTTAGGAACAAATGGAGTAGAACTTTATAGATTTCAAATCAATCATTCATCTCTATTTTTCATTAAACACCATCACATATTTATAAGCTAAATAATTAGCCTAAAAATAGTGTATAACAAACTATTTTTGCCTAAATATCACATATAACAAAACTATTTTCCCCGCATGTTGAAACCCATATATTGTACCCCATTTGTGAGTGTCTTATATTGGAGAAAGAGGAAATATGCTTTCACTTTATAAGGTTGAAGAGTTACTCCTACAATTGCAAATTAGTTTTAGTATGGAAGCTCATAAACCTTGTTTGTTGACCAAACTCTCCTCTTCCTTGTTTCGGGTTTCCCAGACCCATTTTATATTGTCTTAAAAATTTAACACCACATTTATCCAACTAATTTTGTCAATTTTATTTATGTGGCGATTGATTGCATTTTTTAATTATAAGAAATTTCAAATCAATTTTTTCATAGACTTAAGCTCTTTATACATAAATAATGTTAGGACTGGTCACAACATTCTTGTAGATACTTAGGGCTTGTTCTCTTACGTTGAAATTCACTTCACTTCAGTTCAGTTCAGTTCAGCTCAGTTCAGCTCAGTACAGTTCAGTTTAGTTCAGCTCCTAATTTCCTTCTCTTATAAAATATTCATTTCAGTTCAGTTCAGTTTGGCTGAGTTCAGTCAATGAGAACAGGCCCTTAGTAGATTTGAAGCAAGTAAAAAAAAACTACACTACACATGGTAAAAAATGAAAAAAAAAATACACACCTATAGTTTGCATACATATATGGGGGTATATAAATTAATAAACATTTTAAGGGATATAAAATAATTGACATACTTTCGCCGTGTGTTTTTTAAGTGTTACGGTTTGATCGGCACATAGTTTTAGGCAATTTAATTGACTTAAATAAAATAAGAGGTAAGTGGAGTAGTTTGAGTATTGAAAAATTGTAAAAGAAAGAGAGTGGGGTTAATAGTTTATTGAAAAATAATGAATGTGAGAGGAAGGATATAATAATTAAAAAAAATAGTGGTGGGTTTGGTGGGGACCATGAGAGGGGAGAGATATACTTCCTCCGTTTCTATTTAGTTGACGCATTTGATTTAGTCACATATATTAATGAGAGGAGAGAGAGTGAGAGAATGAAAAAACAAGTGAGGTAGCTTGTAAATGTAAGGTAAAAATTTTACCTCAAAAGGAAACGTGTCAACTAAAAAAAATTTCCTAAAAAAGAATATTTGTCAACTAAAAAGAAACGGAGATAATAATATTTTAATGTAGTTTTTTGCCAAAAAAAAAAGGAAGTGTAATATTTATTACAACACGGCCGGATTTGATAAGTATAATACTTAAAAAAATACTGAGAAAGTAACACTATTTATAAGCATTTGGTTAAACTTTTAAAAAGAGATAGAGAGATAAATTTGGGCCTTTCAACCTATGTAGACCTAATTAAAATTTGGGATTTAAAGTTTTAAACCATCCAAACTCCAAAGTGTAAATTTGGTGCAAATTTTTGCGTGACACGAAAATTTCACTACTCCCTAATGATATGGGCCTTATTTGGCATTGTCTGGCCCAGTTCAAGATGACATCCATTTTTTTATTTTTTTTTAAGTATTGTATTATGTTCGTAAAAATTTCAAATCATTGCAAATAAATACTACACATACTTTGTATGAAACAGATGTAGTATTAAAGTTTTTAATAAAATTTGATGGATCCATTCAGTGAATCGTTAAACACCTCCCATCATTCCATCAATTATCTAATAAAGAGAAATTATTTTTCTCACGATCCAATAATAGTATAAGGTTAATTCTTTCTTTATAAAAACAATTCAATGGCTTATGCCACAATCAATTAACTATATAGGATCTCAACTTAGAAGGTGAAATGAATCTGGATAAGTTCATATAACTTTAGATAAAATAGTAAAAATAAGCCTAACAAGTTTTTATGAAATATTGAATTTTAAATTGTCTTAGTATATTTAGATAAGGTTGTATTAATTAGAATGCGATAAAATCACCACCTATATCCTTGGCCAATTAGCCAAATTGGTATAAAAGTTAGCACCGTGTGACATATTGGTATAAAAGTTATCACCAGCGACATATCGGTATAAAAGTTAGTCACCGGCGACATATTATTATAAAAGTTAACAAACTGCGATAAATTGGTATAAAAATTAATAAGTTGTAACATTTCACCCTTCTTTTCTTGCCGAATAATTTTATTTATTTTAATTTTATTTTTATTTTTTGTTAATTCTCATTTTATGCTAAATAATTCTCTCCTCCATGCTCGTTCACCTAAGATAATTGGCAAATAGTAACAAAAAAAAATGTGAGTTCAAAAAAAAATCTCAAATGAATGGAATTAGAAATTTATATAATTTAATGTCTCAAAAATTAAAATTGACATGTAATAAGTTGTAATATTTAAGAAGTCGAAAGCAAATATATTTATACAAATTGAATATTGGGAAAAAAAAAAGCTTGATATAATCTTGAAAATATTTAATCAAAGAGTTTGATCTTGTAATTTTTCTTGATTAATTTTTCTGCATAATTAAGAATATTTCTCTATATTTTCCTATTTCCCCCCTTTTTTTTATTCTTTAACTTTGTAAGGGCCTTTTAATAGTGTCCAAAAAAATTTTAATTAAATATTTGAAGCCAAAAAAATAAAATAAAAAAAAATAAAAATAAAAAAGTAAAGAAAGACAATAGATTTAAGCTACAAGCAAGAATAAGAATAATCATTTGTACAATATACGCTTATTCTTCTAACAAGAAAGAGGGTTAAATATCATCACTTTTATACCAATATGTCATCACATGGTTACTTTTATACCAATATGTCACCGGTGACTAATTTTTATACTTATCTGTCACAATTTGCTAACTTTTATACCAATCTGTCACCGGCGATAACTTTTATACTAATATGTCACAAGGGTGCTACCTTTTATACCAATTTGGCTAATTGGCCCTATATCCTTTTACATTTCAGATAAGAATTCGTAAGAATTCCTAATTACTCGTATTATGCAAAAATAGATTAGGTATTTATACATACATATTATATTTGTCACAATATAAAATTTTAGAAGAGTTAAAATTGATTTTTATTTTTTTATTTTTATTTTTATTTTTTTAAAACACTTACAAATAAAAGGATATGTTTTTTTTTGGCATCATAGACTAGGGTTTTATTTTTGAGAAATAATAGATTTTAAGTATGTACAAATTACAACTAAAAATTATTTTAAAAAAAATTATAACTAAAAATTATGATAACTAATATTTTGAAAAAAAAAAATTAAATAAAATTTGTTTTGTGTCTGGGCGATATTCGGATTATATTGTTGATAAAACTTTAGGAGGAACTTTTTTGGCTTCAATGTTAAACATTGTCCACTTTTTTGGCATGAATGTTAAACACTGTCATATGATCTCTTAATTCAAAATATTTAGACATATGATATCGTATCACTTTTTATATAATAGTGTATTTTTGTAGTTTTTGTTTGTTGATAGTTGTTCATGTTATTATTAACTCGAAATTATTTTTAATGAAATTAAAATATTTTAACTGAACTAAAGTATTCTACCATACTAAAATTATTTTTACTATTTAAAAATTATTTTTAATGATTCTCTATAATTTTTTAAATACATTAAAAAAATATTATAAATTGTTCTTATTTTAAAGAACTTTTTAAAATGAATTTTAGTATGGAAATAAAACCGAGTTAGGGCCTGTTCTCTTCCGTTGAAATTCAGTTCAGTTCAGTTCAGCTCAGTTCAGTTCAATTCAGCTCTTAATTTACATCTAATGATATTGCTAATGATATAAAGCCAAATTTCATTCTTTTAAGCTCTTATTACAACGACAACAACAACGACAACGACAACGACAACGACAACGACAACAACAACAACAACAACAACAATAATAATAATAATAATATTAACAATAATAATAATAATAATCAATAAGTAATAAATAATAATAATAATAATAATCAATAAATAATAATAATCATCAATAAATAATAATAATAATAATAATAATAATAATAATAATAATAATAAAATAACAATAACAATAACAATAACAATAATAATAATAATAATAATAATAATAATAATAATAATAATAATCATAATAATAATCAATAAATAATAATAATAATAATAATCATCAATAATTAATAATAATAATATGTACATTTGTATATACACATATATATAGTAATAAATAATCAATAAATAATCAAATATCACTAATCCGTAGTTAAAAATCACTAATTAATAAGTTCAGTTCAGTTCAGTTAAGCTCAATTCAATTCAGTTCAGTTCAATTCAGTTCAGCTGAGTTCAGTCAATCGAAACAGGCCCTTATGGTATGTTTATTAAAAATTAAGATTAATTTTGTATATACGAAATATTAGAAGTTTATCGATAATAAGTCTCTATGACATTAGCGTGGCATAATTGATCAATTTTTTATATAAATCAACAACAAGAAAAGTTTTATAAAGGCAATTTAATTACATTCAATCACTAATAATTGATTTTCAGTCATTTAAAATGTAATTCTTTACTAATAAAGCGTATATTGGGATAATTTTTATTCATTTCAGGGATAACTTTTAATCACTTTAGGTTATCTTTATAATGGATGTACAATAATTATTGCACACCCGATTTTTTAAAAAGTTTGAGTATTTATATTAGTGATTTGTGATATGATATAATTATGGCAATAGCAAAGTATAAGTAGATATCCATCGTTGTATACGAAGTATCATCTACTAAGGTAACTTTTAGTTTTTGGAAAAAGATGAATTTTAAACCAATTTATCCACCGGTCAAATATTCTCTTAAGGGTAAATTTCTAGATAGAATAATATCCTAGACATCTAATTTATCCATTTTTTTTTAAAGAATTATACATACCGATCTTCTATATATAAACAACGTACATCTCCCCTTCTCAACCATCACAATATTCTCGAGTTTTTTCATAAGCTAGAAAAAAAAAATTAACAATGGGAAAAGGTGGAAACGCTAATGATGTTTCTGGTTCTTCTGAAAACATGGCAGCATGGCTTCTTGGAGTTAATAATCTCAAGATTCAACCTTTCAAACTTCCTAATCTTGGTAAATTTTCGAGTTTTCGTATATTTTTTGAAAACTTTTGATGGGTTCGTCTCTATAGATTAGATACTAATAAAAGTTGTGTAATCTTGTTTAGGGCCTAATGATGTAAGGGTTCGGATGAAGGCAGTTGGAATTTGTGGTAGTGATGTTCACTACTTGAAGGTACGTTATTTTACAATAATCTCGATCTGTCTCAATTTAGTTGTCACGTTAATAATTGTTTTTGTACGTATGTAAACTTAAAATTAAACATGTTATGTATTGTTGTGGTATATTAGACAATGAGTTGTGGAGATTACCAAGTCAAAGAACCGATGGTAATCGGCCATGAATGTGCTGGTATCATTGAAGAAGTCGGTAGCGAGGTGACTGACCTAGCTCCCGGTGATCGGGTAGCACTCGAGCCGGGGATCGGCTGTTGGAGGTGTAATCGCTGCAAGGAAGGAAGCTACAATCTTTGCCCTGATATGAAGTTTTTTGCAACTCCTCCTATTCATGGTTCTCTTGCAAATCAGGTAATTTATCAACTTTAATTCAATTTCCTAAAATAGTTTGTATATTGTTACATAATCATACCTTATATATTATACTATAAGGTTTAATGTGTTTTAATTATTTTGTTACATGTAGATTGTGCACCCTGCAACTTTATGCTTTAAACTACCTGATAATGTAAGTTTGGAAGAAGGAGCAATGTGTGAGCCTCTAAGTGTTGGTGTTTACGGTTGTCGTCGCACTAAGGTTGGGGCTGAGACTACAGTTTTGATCATTGGAGCAGGACCTATTGGTCTTGTTACTCTGCTTTCAGCCAAGGCTTTTGGAGCCCCTAGGATTGTGGTGGCTGATGTTGATGAACATCGTCTCTCTGTTGCTAAGAGTCTTGGTGCTTATGATGTTGTCCAAGTTTCTACTAACAAGGAGGTTTGTTAGTTTTCAATTTCCAAGATTGTATATCTTTGACGATTAATATCTTTAAATTACAAGTATTATTATATACTGGACGTACTTGAATTTTAGTAAAAATTGTGTTATGTGTATTATTTTATAGGATGTGGCCGTAGAAGTTGAGAAAATTAAGAAAGCTATGGGAAAAGACGTAGATGTTACCCTTGATTGTGCCGGTTTTGATAAAACCGTATCAACTGCTTTGGGTGCTACTCGAAACGGAGGCAAAGTTTGCCTAATTGGGATGGGTCATTGTATCATGACCGTTCCTTTAACCCCGGCTGCCTCAAGGTAAACATTCTTAGGAGATTTTTTTTTTTCACACATATTGTAATAAACATCATATTGACATAGTTACGAAATATATTGTCATCCGTGTTTACTAATTGATTTTGTTTGTAACATTACAGGGAGGTAGATGTGTTAGGAGTTTTTCGGTACAAGAACACTTGGCCACAATGTTTAGAGTTTTTGAGTAGCGGAAAAATTGATGTGAAGCCTCTAATAACTCATAGGTTTGGATTCACCGAAGAGGAGGTGGTGGAAGCATTTGAGACCAGTGCTCGTGGTGGTAATGCAATCAAAGTCATGTTCAATCTTTAAGGAATTTGATTTGATTATGAAGATTTGAAGACACTTTCAAGCTTAAATATAATTATGTCTTAGGTTATTAGGCATAGACATTTTTAATAATTAACCTTATTATAAGGTTATATACTTATATTGCACATTACATATTCTTAGAATTAATTAGTTTTTAATACAGTATTACTTATGAGTTTATTTAAGTTTATCTCTTTTGTCAAGCTTTCTGTTGAATGATCTATGCACCTAATCACTGACAGAAACATGGTGATCAATCTGAATATCTGATGATCTATTTGTAAGTGTGGTAGTTGCAACTAACACCACTAAGATTGTTTATACTTATGTACTAACACTATAGTTATGTTCACTTCTATTTCTATAGATTTGTGATGCGGAAAAAGTAATCAAACCTAAGCCAACTAAAGAAAAATTGACGCTTCATTACTTATTAAAAAACTCGTAGGTACAAGTCTATTTTGAAGACTTCCAAGACACGGTGAATACATATCCACTTGTTGAGCTCACTTCATCGCTCTCAACTCTTATATGTGAAGTTTAGTTTTTATTAGAATACATCATAATATATTACTCCCTCCGATCTTTTTTCCAAATCATTTTTTAGTGATCAAGATTCCCGACTTTACCAATCCTCAAATAAATTGGAAATTTCAGAACTTTTTCGTTCGCTCCATCGCCTTTACTCCAAGCATGCTTGAATTTCTCTATGACTTCATCTGTTAACAATTCAACACCTTTCTCCTTAGCAGTATTATAGGCAGACCAAGACCTAATATACATCAAAAAATCTTCCAAAGTCATAACCTTCTCAGCCTTGAACTCAAATGGACCCGTATGATCCAGCCCATTAACCGGCTCAAACGGGAAATAAATATCCATATACTTATTATCCACGAGCTTTCGGGCCTCCTCCCAATGTGGACCTGAATTATCTTTGTAAAATGGCCCAAATACTGCGTCCACTTCATCGTTGATCTCAGGAACAGTGTAGCACCAGGCCGCAATGACCCCATTGGGCTTTTTTAAGGCCCATTTCACCAAGTCAAAGAATTTGGGGAGGTCAAACCAATGCATTGCTTGTGCTATTGTGACTACGTCTAAGGTTGATTGAGATGCAACTTTTTGTTGGAGCTCCTCAATAGACATAGTAGGGGAAGTATGTTGGTACTTGACATTAGGAAGTTTTGGTGCAAACTCTAGCTGTTTTTGGCTTGTGTCTGTGCCTATCACATTCTTGTAGATCTTTGCTAGCTGGAAAAAAAAAAAGTGTATAGATCATTAAGCATTAATTTTCTTCGGAATAAAAGTTACCTCGAAACATAGGAAATAATCGGAATTTCTTAGAAAATGATCTGAATGAGGTAACACACTAGAAAAGATTAAATTATGAATTAAGTACAATTTCCCATGATTTGAATATTTACAAACTATCTTTAGTAATCAACAACTCAACATGCCATACAAATTACCACACAAATCGATTAGGTTCTTCCACAAAGTATGTGTACAACAAGTCGATAAGTCATATCTCGATTCTCTTCACCCCGAATTGTAATTTGTATTGACTTTATAAAAATCAATTTTAATCAATGAATCCAGATATTTATAATAAAAAAAACTATTGAATGTTAATTTGAATGAATAAATTGGTCCAATAAATTAAATTAACAAATGATTTAAAATTGAAGCATGTAATAAAAGAGGAAAAGAACTAACAGGGGGAATGGCTTGACCGCTGCCAGTGCCAACATCCCAAACAAGATAATGAGATGGAGTTTTGGAGGCAATGAACTCAAAGAGATCCGTTGAATATGTTGGCCTCGCATTTGCATATTGTTCAGCCTGCTTTATAAACAAATCCGCCATACTTTTGTTTTATGCTCTCTTATTTTAATGCTTTTGATTAGTTTTATATGATGGAAATTAATAGGATTGAGATATTATTAAGATAGTGGAAGAAAAAGCGTTTCCAACTCTTTCTTTCTAAACTTGGCCGTCAAACGTCATCCATGATGTTTTTTTTTAATCAAGTTTAGTCTTGTACATGTTAGCAAAAATAGACACGAAAAAAAAAAATACTCACGAGATAAGATGCTAGTTTTTGGACTTACGTGATGCTCTTCTTCTTAGTATTCTTAAAATCTCATGTAGTCTTTTTTTTTTCTTTTGACAAAGAGAATCTCATGTAGTCATGTGAACAATAATTGTCATCTTACCAATGGTTAATCTAATTGTACCCGTAGTTATTTTTATTTGAAGTTTGTTGTAAATTATAGGAAATTTTGATAATTACCACATTCTATTATGTCCATTTTAACAATTATCACCTTGTATTTTATTTTTTTCGAAAGTTACCACCTTTTATTTTTAAAAACATTAAGGGGTCGTTTGGTTGGGGGTATTCAAGAAAGGGAAAGGGAATCAACTGCCCCGATTCTCTTTGTTGTTGTTTGTTAAGCACTTTTAATCATTCCCTTTACCCTCTCCATTACCCCAAATCCTTCCAACTTCATTCCCCACCCCTCCCTAGACTTTTCCATTCCCTTTCCCTACCCACCTTCACACCACCACATCACCACCTTTACACCTACCAACACCACCGGAAAACCAGCCCTAACCACCGCCGCCCCTCCCCCGACCAGCGCCGACCCTCCCCCGAGCCTCGCCGCCCTCCCCTCCCCCGATAAAATTCCGGCGAACCTGTTCAGTTCAGCCCCTCCGTTAACAAATTCCAAGGATTCCTTCACTCCAATTCCACTGGTAACCCTCAATATCTAAATTCATCTAGAAATTCATATTCAATTTATTAGTTTTATTTCCTGCCATTATTGTTTGAATTCAGAGGCATTTTTAGTTTAATTTTTCGGAAAACTAATCAATTTAATTGATTGACCAATTAACGTAATATCACGAAAAGTTGGAAAATCAACTTGGAATTAAAATGTATAATTGGTGAATTAATTGATTTAATCCAAGAAATTGTTAGGCTATTGAATTGGATTGATGTGTAAGCTTTTATTGTGTGAAGGAGTGAGGTGGTGTTGGGCGGCGATTTTCTGGGTCAAGGGAGATCGGGGCTATGGGTGGTTTTTACGGGGGAGGGGAGGGCGGCGAGGCTCGGGGGAGGGTTGGCGGTGGTCGGGGAGGGGCGGCGGTGTTCTGGGCTGGTTTTCCGGTGGTGTTGGTAGGTGTGAAGGTGGTGGTGTGGTGGTGTGAAGGTGGTTGGATGGGTGACCTTTCATTCATTCCATTCCTTTGTTATTCAAAACAAACAACACCCCAAAATTGGGGGATTTTCATTTCATTCCTTGTCATTCTCTTTGTTCATTCCATTCCGATTCCCCCGTGCGAACCAAACGACCCCTAAAAGTTACCACCTTCTCCACCACATGACGTCATGTATGTGGGCCCCACCCTTTATCTTTCCCTCCTATTTCCCCTTCCTCACTTCGATTCTCATATCCCCTGTCTCTCTTCTCTTTCCTTCACTATTAATGGCAATCAATTCTTCCTCACCTACCTAATACTTTCTGAAAATTTACTCCCTATATATTGTCACATCCTCTCTCTCCCTCATAATTCTTGGTCAAAATAGTTGCTAAATTGCCCAAAATTGTACCTTGTTCCAGGCGCAGTATCATATTACAATTGGGTTGGAAACGTCATTGTTGAAGGGGGGACCAAGCTAGGATATCTCAATTAGTTCAGCAATTGAACACCCTCACCCCTAATTTGATTCGCAAAACCCTAATTTCAACCCTAATTTGTTGTTAATTTGATTCGCAAAATTACAATCATTAACCCTAAAATGCATTGAAAACCCCTAAATTAAGAAATTAAGATGAACAACATACCTTTCTTTTGGGAATCATTGTCATGTTGCAGCAACCACCAATAATTATTCGTCAATTTGGATTTAGAGGAGTAAATTGAAGTGTTCTGATTTTTTTTGGGGGAAAAAAGTGAGAGGAGAAATGAGAATCAAAGAAATGGGAGGGAAAGGTAAAGGGTGGGGCCCACATGACGTCATGTGGTGGAGAAGGTGGTAACTTTTGATATATTTGAAAATAGAAGGTAGTAATTTTAAAAAAAAATACAAGGTGATAATTGCTAAAATGGACATAATAGAAGGTGGTAATTGTCAAAATTTCCTAAATTATAGTATTTTGTAACTATTGCCAAACAAAGTTTGGTGGAATTGGTGGGGAACTCACCTTGTGAGTTGTGACTTTGATGTCACAAATTCGAGCCCCACCAACTACAAAATGCTTGCAAGTAGGGAGTTGGAGATTTCCTCCCCCCCCCCCCTCTACTCTCAAGTGATGACTAGCGGAGTTGGGCTGGCTAAACCAGTGAGAGGTGCCGTCTCAATAGGGTCCTTATTGGGTGAGGTTCCCTTTAATAGTAATATTAAGAATGTAACCCTAGGATTATGAATATGATTGTGTAATGATTAATGTAAGTGTTGGCCTTGTTAATCCTCCGTAATGTGTATCACTCCGTAGTATGAATCCATTAATAATGCGCTTTAAATACATGTATTTAAAAGATGTCAAAAACTAATCCGATAAATTTAATCTGATCCAACCCAAATAATCCAATTTAAATTTAGCATGATTAAACTTTAAAATAAAACCCTGACCCAAATTCATCAAACCCGACCTTGTTAGAAAAATTGACCTCTCTACGAAACAGAATCCGTATGTTGCAATCAGGATTTAAGAGTACTCCGTAGTTATTTTGCGTGAGTAATCCAGTATTCAGTGGAAGTTGTTGAACCCTACTACTCTACAGCTACTACTATAACCAGAACCAGAAACCAAAGACGAGAGACAGTAGAAAGGATCAACAATGGCGACAACACCAATTCCAAGTGACACATTCAAGCTAGGTTTCATCGGAGCTGGAAAAATGGCGGAAAGCATTGCCAGAGGTGTCGTCAACTCCGGCGTTTTGCCTCCTTCCCGGATTTTTACTGCCCACCTTGGCGCCCAACGTCGCGAAGCTTTTCAATCTTTCGGCGTTTCCGTCGTCGATCACAATCACCAGGTTTCTTCCTTTTATTCACGATTAACTGCTTTTTTTTTTATTTTTTATTTTTATAAATATTATTATCAATTTCTGTATTTTTTGTATGAATTGATTTTGAATTTCATTGCATTTGTGCTTGAATTTGTAGAATATTTCCATTTTATATGCTTGATTATTATAATATACTATGTTTATTGATTAATTTGGATTGATTATGCTAGCGAATTTGAGTTGTACAAGATGAGAATTGATGAATTTTGTTGGAAATTTCTAATACGATTGGTTTTGGAGTATGTTGACGTAGTGTTTTGAGTTATACGAATCGATTCTGATCATTATTATTGAGAGGAGTAAATGTGTGGTATCTACAGGTTGTTGAAGAATGTGACGTGGTTATTTTCTCTGTAAAACCTCAAATTGGTACTCTTACTACATTCTCTAATGAATCATATTTTTAAGTTTTATTTTTGTTGAAGATTGTAGATTGTTCGTTTGATTTTAATACTTCCTCCGTCCTCATCGAATTCGACAACATTTGGAAGTAATACATTTGGGATTTGGCTTGTCTAACATGGTTGAAGAAACTTTGATTTGATAGCGTAATGTGACTTTGAAAAAAAAAAAAAAAAAAGGATATTTTTGTTTTACTATAAAATGGGACGGAGGGAGTAGTATGTAATCGGCAGATTTTGTATTGCATTGCTGAGTTATGCATAATACCATTTATTTGAAGAACAACTTTGTAATTTAACCTCGTTATCTTTTGTTACGTGGTGCAGTCAAGGATGTGGTGTTACAGTTGAGACCAAAGCTTACAGAGAAGCAGCTGCTAGTATCAGTGGTCGCTGGAACAAAATTGAAGGATTTACAGGTATTCGGAGTATTTGGCAGTGGGAAAAATGGATATGTTAGGCTCTTTAGTCTTTATTGGTTAAGTGATAAGTATCCTTTCTTTTGACTGTTGTTAATTGATTTCTTTACATAGCATATTTTGCTATTAGTGATCTTATACAATTTCAATCTCAAACGTACAACTAAATAATCAAGAAGTGGGGAAGTAGAAGAAAACATGCAGTCTGTTTCTTAATTATTTCTGGTCGTTATCTGTTAAACCATTGCATTGAGCTTTGACACTTGTTAATCTGTTTGCTGTTGTGTCATTGCTAGGAATGGGCTGGACAGAGCCGTTTTATTAGGGTAATGCCTAATACTCCTGCTGCTGTGGGAATGGCAGCATCAGGTTTGTTTCCATCTTTTAATAGTATTATTCTGCTACATTTGAAACTCGTGATTACTTTTTCAATAATTTCCAGAGTGATGGTAAGACTTTATTAGATTTTATGCCCTGTGGGCTTGTGGCCTTCATGCTCATTTACTCAATGCATCAACATCATACAATTGTTTTTTTACTGATTGCTGAATAGTACATTGTGAACCTTTTTTTTTGTTTTTTCTTTTTTTCTTTTTTTTTTTTTTAATATTCTCACAGACTAAGGGGTTGTTTGGTTCACTATGTTGGAATGGGTTGGAATGGATTTAGAATCCTTTCCATGGTTTTATTTGTTTGGTTGGGCTATTTAAGTATGGAATCTCATACCTCGGGGATTCTAACTCCACCCCATTCTATTGGAATCTCATACCCACCTCCCCCCTAAGGATTCATAATCCATACTACCACTCAAGTATGAGAATCCATTCCATTGTTAATCCAAACAACTTTAGGTTGGACTTGGTATGGGATATATAATCCATACCACCCAAGTATGAGAATCCATACCAATCCATTCCACATTAGTGAACCAACAACCCTTAAGAAATTGTTGATTATTGCATCATTGTTAAATGGCAAGTAGTATTGCATTTGTATTTTGTACTATAAGTAATGATGCATGATATTAAGTGACAAATCATATTCAAGTTTAACAGACA